ATACCAGCAGTACAATATCTTGTGTAAGCACCACATACCCCCCTTTCCCCCCCCCCTTTCCCCCCTCTCCCCCCCCCCCCCGCCGCGGCCTCGAGACCAGACACCACGGCCGAGGGCTTCCGAAACGGCCCCGAGCCCACGGCCGAACCGGCAGAAAACCCGCCACCGTCCCCGCCCGCCCCCGCCGCAGCCCCACCCCGCACGAGCCCCGCTCCTGCTCCGGCCAACCCACCACATCCCGCCCCCGCCTTGCCGTTGCCCGAGGCAATGGCCAAGTCGAAGGCATCGAAGGCGTCGCCGTCGCCGAAACCGTCGTCATCGTCATCGTCGTCGTCCGCCCAGTCGTCGAGCGCGTTCGCGTCCAGGCTCATCTTCTTCAGCGCCAGGGGCTGGTTTCGCGCTTGCTCTGTTTTAAGGCGCGGGGAAGGTTTTTTATGTGCGGGGGAAGAGCGAGAGCGGGTTGTCCGTCGGTCGGTCGGCCGTGCGCGATGGGAAACGCGTCGGGGTCGGTGTGCTGGCGAGGAAGGCGGGCGGGCGTGTGCATGAAGAGAAGGCGTGGGGCCTGAGCCGCGTGTATATGGAGAGAAGGGGTCGAGTCAACCCAAGGCTCTCACCCTCACCACGTGGGGGGGGGGGGCAGCGAACGACACACCTCATCTTCGTTGCATGAGCATCAGAAAAAAACCACTACCATACTACCAACACGAGGAGGATTTTTTTTCAACACCCCCGTACATTCTCACCAACTACCCGCTCGCTCACCTTCCGCCTCTTTCAGGGCCCTCAGCCTATGCTTGGCCTCCTCCGACGCCGGTGCCATGCCCGTCTCCGCCGCCGCCGCCGCCGCCGGCTGCTGCTGCCCGCCACTTCCGGTGGCCGGCAAAGATCCGACCGCAAGGGAAGGCGCCACGAAACCGAGCTCCTGCCATCGGAAAGAATTCATCGACACGCGTATTTTCGCGCCGCCGAAAAACGAACGCGCACCAACAAAGCAGAACGCGCACGCACATCAAAAACAAGCGGCACCGAAGAAAATGCACACAAGACCGCAAAAAAAGGGGGGGGAGAGATAGAACCAGCTGGCTGATTCTGATGAGTTTCTTGGCGGGGTACCACACCATGACCAAACAGCCCCCGACAGCGAGCGGGGCAACAAAATGCACCAGGAAAATGTCCAGAAGCCACGGTTCCGAAGCGGCTCACAATTATGTCTCTTCCCTCTTTGGCCCGGTAGCCCTCTCACTACGTACCTCAACACCAGGGGTATGGCAGAGTACAGACAAGTGCCTCCCGACCCACCCCTGCCCCATTCCCTCCCAACAAGCCATCACTTTTCCTTGTTTTCTCTCCCTCTCTCTTGTACTTTTCCTCTGTCTCTCCTTGCCCCGGTGGCCCTCTCATCACATCGTCCCAGCAGCCTCAACACCACGTCTCTGGACAGGGATACGGCAGCGAATAGCCCAAGGTCTCCCAACCCATGTCCTCCCAACAAGACACCCAACTTTTTTCGTTTTTTTTCTCTCTCTTCCTGGCATTCTCACCCGATCCCAGTCCTGGTCCCACCCTTGACCGTCCTCCGCGGCACCCCTTCGGTTGGCGGCAGCCAGCGCCGCCGCCGCAGGAGGAGGAATGTTGCCCCTCCGCGCCCCCCCCGCGCCGCTGCTCAACGGCGACGCCTTCGGCTTCGCCTTGGGTGCGGGGGCAGGGGCAGGAGCGCCGCCCGCCCCCTGCCCCTGCTGCCCCGCCGCCGCCCCCCCCTGCAGCAGTGTTGCCTTGGCTTCGTCGAGGTTGGCAATGTCGCTGATGTCTCGCACGTCGCTGGGTGGGTGGGCCGCCGTCGGCAAAGATTCACGCGCCAAAGAAAGAGGGGAGGGAGGGGGGGCGATGGGTTGATAGTAGGCGGGAGAGGGGCTAAAAGTCAAAACAGCCTTTTATTCTGTCTTCCCACCGGCCGAGCGGCCCGCCGATCGCCGCTGTTACTGTACCTCCGGACGCAAAATGACACACACACACAAAACACACTACACGAAAATAACATCCTAATGACGCACATCAGCAAAGGCGCCTAGATCCTGCCCCCCTCCCTCCCACACAAAAACATCCGCATGGAGCACACCAGCGAGGCGCCGAGATCCCCCCTCCCCGGAGTC